TAATGGTTGGACACTCCCAACAACTTCACCTCAACTCTTCCCTGAGTCGAACCAGAAAGATAGAAAGACAGAGAAAAAAAGTTGAAGGGGCGGGACCAGCAAGATGAAATGTGTTTTAAAGATGGCAGGGCTCCCACTCACTGCAGAGCTATTCTCATGTTTGCTGAGGAGCTGAAGTAACTGCAGGGACCAGACAGGCGGCGTAGGAAATCAAAGATGGCTGCAAGCTCCACATCATCAGACTTTTTTTCTTTCTCTTGATTCAACCACGTTTCACAAGAAACAGATATGCATTTGGGCATATATTCAAAGCCAAAGTTAACTTCAAATAACAGACAAAAAATACCTATAAGAAAATAAAAATCACTTTACTGTTAAAAAAAAGCATCATGAGCATGAAAAAGTGGAATCAGAAATTAAAATAACATAAATACAACTTTTGTTTGAAAGCTCCTTATAGGGCTGAATGAAATACGTCACTGTTGCAAATTTGCATCGCAATGACGATAAAAAACATCATATTGTGCAGCCTTAGCTCCAAAGCACTCACTGTTATTTGCTGGGTAATAGATATTGCAGTAACCATACTGCAAGTCTGCAAATGGTTTAATTTGCATTTGTATTAGACAGAAGAGTTCCCAGTAGACAAGGTTAATTGCTACTTCCTTGACATGTGACATGTGAGGCTGTCCTGTGGGCCAATTTATCCCTGGGAGAAGAGAGGTGGTTTAGGTAACCCAATGCACGTGCAAACTCTTGATTTTGTCAAGTTTTTGAAGTCATTAGAATGTATGTTAAAGCTAGAGAAATGGTCTGTGTTCTCAAACAAATGGTAAGCAGGTTATCTAGTTACTTAAGTTACATTTCTGGTCGAAGTCCATAGTGACCAGAGAAATCCCTGCCTTCATAGTGTATTGTTCCTTTAGCCATGCTGTTAATAATGAAACAAGACATCTCTAATGGTAAAGGTAAAGTCAGCAAAATCGAAGACGAACAAGATTTATTCCTTTCCACTTCTTAAGATGTTAAATACCCCCCGCCATTTTGAATCCTACATCTTTCTCCTCTCCTGTGCTGTCTCCCTTAGTGCTGCCAGCTGGGCCTGCAGACAGAATCCTCCAGATGTGCTGCACTCTGATTGGCTTGTTGAAGTTGTTTCCTCACTCACTGACGCTCATATTTCCATACTTATGCGGAAGAAAGCGCTAAGGATTATGGGTGGAGGTGATCCTCTCATGTCAGAGGTGGCAGTCCATCTGTCTGCCAGCTTGTAAGGAAAGTGGCACACAATAACTTGGTATATTTGATCAACTGCTTTATGCGTGGATGAAAATGCATAAATCTTTAGTCATTGACAGTGAAACACCATATCTGATGTTATCATGACATATTAGGATACAGAAAAGTTCAGTACTACAAGTTCACTTGTGTAGGAAACAAAATATGCTGTAGCCTAATGAAATAATCGTCAAAACACTTGATATTGCTCTATAAGAACCATTCCCTTTAATAAGAGTTTAAGGGTAGCCCAAACATACCAGGAAATTGCCCCTACATGCACGGAAGCATTCATTGTATTTCTAAATGCGTTCATTATGGTTCTTCACATGTTTTCTTCAACTTTGTGTACTGTATTGGAACATTCAGTATCTTTGCTTCTTTTAAAGCATTTTAAGTTGGATTATCTAATTCTGAACAATGATGTCTGTGCGTATGTTTCTGTACAATAAATGAAAGCGCCTGATATGGGTATATGTGGCCCACACACTCAGACACCGACAGCTGTCTATATGGGAAGTTTCGAGATAGAGCAGAGAGAAAGAGAGAGTTGGTGATTAAAGAGGAGGGGCGCTCACACACACACACCTATAATCCTTTTACCGACTGAAGCAAAGAGAGAGACGACAGAGAGGAGAAAAGATCAAAACATGATTGAAGGTTGAAGGAAGCAGAGAGAGATACAGAAAAACTGTTCAGACACACTGCCCCGTGTGACACTCACACAGAGAGAGAGGCACTAATTAAACAGGACACACACACACACACACACACACACACACACACACACACACACACACACACACACACACACACACACACACACACACACACACACACACACACACACTGCAGCAGACATGCAGGGGCGGTTGAGGTTTTCAAATTACAGCTTATCCTATATTCCAGGCAGTTTTTGTCTTTCTCTTCTCTGAACACTTGCAGCAAATTTTCCACACAGAAATACTGTCGGAAAACTACGACTCTAAGCTTGACAGTTTTGCTATAATTAATTAATATTTCTGGGATGTGGAGTGTAGGGTTGTACAATGACACTAAAGTTGCTGCAGATTTCTTACATCCTGGGACCAAGTTGCACATAAGTGTTTTTCTGTTCACTCAATATGGATTTAATGGCTGACATGGTGTGGGTTTTTGGCCAGCTTGATCTTCGTATGAATGGCAGAAGCTGGTTAGCTTAGCACAAAGACTGAAGGAACAATCTGTCCAGAGGTAACAAACCCTGTCCACCAGTACCTCTAAAGCTCAGCAAATGAACACATTATATATTGTTTATTTAATCTTTACAACAAATATAAATATGACACATTGTAGTGCTTATGTGTCCTTGGAAAAAGCTAATCTATTTCCTCCTATTTCAAATCGTATTGCTAAACTAAGCTAAGTTATCCAGCATCTGGTGGTATCATCTTAATATTTACCACACAGATTTTAGAGTTCATCATCTACCATCTATTTCAACTCACTTCCAGAAAAAGCCAATAAGCTTATTCCTTAAACTTCATGTTACATTTGTGAAGTTTAAAGTGTTACTCTGTAGCCTAAGGCCATTGTTGTCAGTGGTAGGTATCCATTGCTTTACCTTTTATTTTCCAACATAATTTGCATTTAAAGGTGGGGTAGGTAAGTTTGAGAAACCGGCTCGAGATACACTTTTTGTTATCTTCCATGGAATGCTCTTAACAACCCGATAGCAATGAATATCTAAGTGCTTTGACAAAAAATCCATAAAAGTGTCATCTCTGGAAGCCGTAGCACTGTAAAAAGCACAACCAATCATTTTAGCCGGCCCGGCTAAAATAACTGGATGGCCTACCTGCCTGTCAGCCTTCCATCTGTGCACAAACTTATCTCGTGCCCTCATTGGTCATGTGCGCGTTCGTGTGTGTTGGAGGAGGGGCTCTGTAAGGAAGTGGCAGATTTTTTCCGGTTGTGTATTTTCAAATTCTAGCGCACTCGAGCTGGTTTCTCTAAAATTACCTACCCCACCTTTAAGTCAAGACAAAGAATGAAAAACATCATCCCTGAAGTATTTTGGTTTAGTTTCGGTTTGTGTTATCATAACAACATGATATCAATTCTCTAACACAGCAATATCTCCCTAAAGTTTGCTAACTTTGGCTATGCTAACTGTTAGCTATTTGCTACTGGTGATACCAAACCAGGTCATGCTGCGGCAGCAAAATCTCTGAATGTGTTGAGTGAAATTATGTTTTATTGCTTCAGAAGTTATCTTCTTTTTGAAAGAGAAAAACTTTTATTTATTTTTCAAAACTAACACTTTCCGACATATTTATTATTGGCTGCACCAACTCATCAAAGAGGTTCTATTTGTATTTTCTAGTGCATAATATTTTACACAATTGTACTAAATTCAGTAATTGGTATCTTAGTTATCTTGTATCTAGTTATCTGGGTTTGAACAAGATCTAAATATACAACATTACTTTTCACCAACCAGTCAAAAGGGTTTTACAAATCAGGCAGCAACAGCATTACTTCTTTATTTTATTGAGGCAATTAACAGTGCTCCTTCAAACAAAGTCATATACAGAAATCAGCTACAGACAACAGAAAGTAAAATAGTCAGACATGTATCACTATTTCAATTTGAAGGAGAACCTTGGAGCTGCTGGCATTTACTCAAGTATTTTAGCTTGACGATGAAAAAGGAGTCAAAGAATTCAGCTCTCTTGTTGGCTAGACAGGCCTGAGCGCATATGAGCATGCTTAGGCCACGGGCATTATTCTCCCTGCTGACGTGACTCTGTAGCACCCAGGAAGGAAGGAACTGGGGGAGAACTAGTAAAAGACTGCAGAGGGATTTTTAGGGAGCACTCATTTACTTTAAGTACTTCAAATTATACAACAGCCTGGCCAAGTTTGTGATGCGTGTATGTTACGCCTTTTCTTTCTCATTCCCTTCCTTCTCTCCTTTTCCTGCTTTCCCTCCTACCCCTTGTTTCTCGTATCATTTCAGTGTCTCCCCCTGCCTTCGTCACCATCTCTCAGTCTTTGTCTCTCTTCGTTCTGTTAGTTAACATCTGCAGGCTGTTTTCACTGGAATATATTTCTTGAACTTTTTAGACTTGAGCTGCAGGGAGGCGGGGTTGACGAGCTGATCTAAAGTCAGTTTGGGCTTGGTTGTGGGGAGGGAGTGAGGGGTAGGGGCAAAGGAGAGTATAAATATGTGTCAGGAAACACAAGCAAGCATGTTGGAGAAGTTGAGTCACACTGGATAGCTCTCCCACTGGAGATACACTTAACAATCACATCAAAAAAAAAGCTAGTTTTTTACGCCGTTTAAAGAGGCTTCATGCTTCTGACTTATTATTTGAGGGTATATCACAATTGAAGCAAAGACGATTCTTCCAAAAAGCTCCTCTGTCAATGAGCTCAAGTAATGAGATTGAATGTGAGAATTGCAGAAAAAGTAGAAGGCAAAAGAGAGAAAATCAAAGTAGGGAACCTCCCTTGGCTGCAAGTAACACATGGTTAGATTTGCCTGTGTGTCCACATGACTCACAGTCTGGTCAGCAAACGCATAATAAACGTGACAGAAATATCCACGTACAATGTCACCAGAGTCCACGGCAGGCAGCTAATTGCTAGATAGAGTTAAGGCGTGGTTGGAGAGAGGAAAAAAAAGTTTGAGCAAGAGAATGTCCATAAATGTATTTTCTTTTTTCTTTTGAAGGCTGCAGAAATATGCAAAAGAGTCAAGTTTATCTTCTGAGAGAGTTCAGTCAGGTTTTAGGGGCCATATTCTCCAGGAAAGGGATAAACTACAAATCTTAAAAACTTCCTCTAGCCCCACAAGTAGTTTGGCAAGTCTGTGATATTTGAGCAATACTGAATTGCCAAGACATTTGATGCAAATATCATGGCAACATTTCTGAGGCAGCGCTGTTTTGTGTGAGTAACGTTAGGCTAGTGCGCCACACAACATGTTGCTACAGTTTCAACAGGCCTCCCTTTGCTCATTGTTAAATAATTGAAAATGTATTTTAAAAAAAACACCAAAAGTAAAGAAACATTTTCACCAACTTGACGAAACATGCAAAATTAAAAGAATGCCGTAAGAAGCTCAAAACACAACAAAAACAGGGACACTAAAAAGTGATGCACACAGCTGGGACCGGACTGTTGGTGTTCGCGGATTAAAAAGTCGGCCAACTGTCAGTGTCAACTATAAGCTAACTAGCTAAACTAGTCGTTTCAAATATACTTACAAAACACTTACAATTATGAAACTGACTAACTCTGCGAGAGTGAGTAAACACTGCGTGTTTTTGGCCTGTGTAGCATGTTTTCCACGGGTCGGCCACTTTAGTTATCTCATCATTAACTGCATTTGTTGATTATAAAAACCATAACCATATACTGATATTTCCGCCCCTGTGTAGCCTACATTGTTTTAAGTACCAAATGCTAACATTAACCACACTTTGCATTTACATTTGATCCAAATCACTTTTACAGAGGCAGATCAAGTGACGTGGGGTTCAGTATCTTGCAATAACCTCTCGACATGTTGACTCCAGTACAGCTGTGCAGGTCACAGAACTAATAGTCTTGTTGAAATATAATGAATTCAAACTGGATATACTATGTAGCATGAGATTGTAGAACAAATATGTGTCAGAAATGTAGTTATAGTATTTATAGTAACAATAATTACATAATTTTGATGTATTGAATTAAAGTTTGGGGTAAAGTTTGCACCGCTAAGATAGAATGTACCTGACTTGCAGAAAACGCTAAATAGTTTAAACCCTGTTTAGTTAAGTCACAGCGTATTGGCTGCTGAAGGGTTAAGCTGAGCTCAGCTATGGTGAGTGGAGGGGAGAGCGCTGAAATCTTTTCCATATTACGGCACACATGAGGAACACATTTAAGTGAGTTCAGCTGTCTGGAGCCTCTCTCTCTCTCTCCCTCTCTCTCTCTCGCTCTCTCTCGCTGGCTGGTTAGGGGAGGGTTCAACACAGCAGTATATCATTACACATCTGGGAAAATGCACTCAGAGCCCCGGATGACACACAAGAGAGAAGAGAGACAATGCTCTCCATCCGTAACCAACCACTGTGGTAGCCGATTGAGAGTTTGAAAAGGAAACAAAATTGATAAAGACGCAAGATTGATCTAATTCAAGTAAACGAATGGTATCTGATGAAACAGCATGCACCATAAAACTACTGTTTACATAAGAGCTATAACAGAGAACATCAAGGTGGTTATGAAGCATCCTCTCCCCTTAGAGAAAAAATAGCAGAGCCCTGACAAAAGATGTGAACGCAACAAACTCCGACATTAATATGAACTCTAATGGAAATCTGAGACCTCTCTCTAATCGTCACTTCCCTTCTGTAACTCCACCTCTTTCAAACTGCACATTTGCTCCACTTTCTGTAGTTTTATTTTGGTAAGATGGATGTCGACTGGCCG